AAGAAAATCAAGAAGGGGATCAAAAAAATAGATATGGACAGAGGAAGTAGGAATTAATCTGCAATGGTGAATAAAAGAGGAAAACATAAGAAGAGGCTTCCTGTTAAGAGAACCAGAATGGGAATCATTGACAAAAGATTCCAGTGGGAGAGTATGGGGAGCACAATGCAAAAGCCATGCAGTCCAGAAATGTGGCCTAGGAGATGGTGAAATCTCCATTTGAACATTTTGGAAAAGAGGGCAGTATACAAGGCTTTACTAACATTCAAGCGCATTCCTGAAGAACACATGGGTGAAGGTAACGATGGACAACACTATTGCCATGGCCTACATCAATCATCAAGGTAGGACGAAGAACAAAAGACTGATCCAAGAATCCAAACCAATAATATTCTGGGCACAACATAATCTGGAAGGTTTGTCTGCAATTCACCTACCAAGACAAATGAACACAGTCGTGGATTATATGAGCCGACATTATGTAGATCCAGGCAAAGATGTTTTCCAAAAATGTGTATGGGATATAGATGATTGTGAGATTGTGAGGTTCAGAAAAAAAAACCTCCCTTTATTTTTTTTCAAGGCGATTAGACACTAAACTGGGAATTTCAGCTGGGCTATGTCTTCCCTCTGGAATGAGCAAGTAGAGGTTATAGCGATTCTTCCTCATTGGCCAAAAAGACCTTGGTTCCCACTACTTCTGAGCATTACATATAGAGATCCATAGGAACTACTAATCCAAAGGAATCTCTTGTCCCAAGGGTGTGATCCAGTAAAATTTCATTTGAAGGCTTGGAGATTGATATTCCCTTAAACTTTCAGACATTCTTTTCAGAGAGTGTGGTAAATACTATTCTTCAAGCAAGAAAACCCACACATCCAAAGTGTACTATAGGATTTGGAGAGCGATGTGGAATCGGTAGCTTCCCTAGGTAAAGACTCAGATTCAACAAACCTTCCTAACTTGTTAGAATTTAAAAAAAGGGGGCGTGGCTTGAGCGCCGAACGGAATGGCGGCGTGAACCACGAGCTCCCTCCAGGCTCACCGCATACACCCACCTAGACAGCTCCAACGGCACACAAAATGGGCAAAACGAATAAGCCACAGCAAGCTGCAGCGACGGCTAACACGCCGAGGGGGTCCAAGCATCAAATATGCGCCAGTACCTCACAGCCCAGACCGACCATGCCTCTCAGGCCTCCAGTGCCCCAGAGACCTCGGGCCAGACCCACCCGGCCTCACCTAGAGACGGACAGCACGACCTTGATCAGGTACACCACCCAACAGACATCCCCCTAACCCAGCTGGACTGGGTATCACTCATACAAAACCTACCCACTAAGAGTGACCTGAAGGAGGCTAATGCCGCCCTCCATAAGTCCATCACAGGGGAACTCCAGGCCCTGAGAGAAGACATGCAGGGGATTCATCATAAATTGGCCCAATTGGAGGCAGACTGTGACCATGTGACATCGGAACAGAACGCCACAGCAAACACCATACAGTGACAAGCAACACAGTTAAGCCAAATGGCCCTCCACATAGAGGACTTGGACAACAGGGGGAGGCGACAAAACATTAGAATTAGGGGCCTACCTGAGGAATGGGACCAGACATCCCCAGTGCGAGACACCCTCACGGAAATCTTTAACACCCTACTGCAGAGGCCGACCACGACGCCCATCGAATTTATCAGGGCGCACAGAGCCCTCAGACCCAGGGGTCCACCAGATTCCCCCCCAGAGATGTAATATGCTGCCTAACACACTACCAAGTGAAGGAAGACATCCTGAGAAGTGCCAGAGACAAAAGACAAATCATACACAACGGCACGGAAATACAACTGTACCCGGACCTCTCCCCTGCAACACTGGCATACCGGCGAGCCATGCGCCCACTCACACGAATAGTGCAGACCAACAAGATCAGATACAGGTGGAGTTTCCCCACCGGAGTACAAGTCACCACAAGCAACGGCCCCTTCACGGTAAAGAACGGCGCTGACTTACTAGACCTAAGCAAAGAACTACCACGGATACAACTGACATGGCCGGATCCAATGGCTTTCTACGCCTACCCACCTGAGACGCAACACCAGACGCAACAACCACCCAGACCCAGAAGAACGAGACAGCAGACAACACGCCCTACGGGTACCAACCTGTAAAAGACCATGTGCATACCGCCCACCCTCCCGGGAAACCGCAAAACCCAACCGCGGACCAGATAGACACCGTTAATCCCCGTACGATGAAACCAGAACTCCTGAAAACGCAGCGCTGAAACCCTCAGAACCGCAAGTATACAACCCAAGGGGTGACACACCCAAAGAGGTACAGCACAGATGTAAAATGAGAGACACAGAGACATACCCCAAACCTGGAGACCCAAACGGCAGGACTGATACAGGCGCTCACCCGCACAGAACCCCTTGGCCTGATGGGCTACCTCTGGACTAAACGGGTTGAAGCCAGAGGAGGGGAAAGGGGCAACAGGGGAACACACTCCTGGCCCCGACACAGTAATGAAAGGGAAGGGGGCTGGGGAGCCCGCCCCCCCGGCTGGGCCCGGCCGCCAGAACCCAACCGCACTGTGACGATCCATGGGGAGCAGGCGGGGGGCGATGCCGGCGGGGCACACCCGAGGTGGGGGCACCAGCCCACACCCAGAGCTACAGGGATATCCAACCCACAACCACCCCCTGAATAGCCCACACTACCAGGAACACGGAGAAATAGCACGACACATAGGGAACACTAAACAGGGTACACGCAACATAGCCACAGGGACCATAAGAGATCACACCGATCAGACCCAGAAGTAAGGAAACAGCCTACACAATCTGACCCTTATTAGGGACACACACGCATCTCGAAAAACTAACGAGCAAGTCACGAAGATACGAGGGACGCAAAACACACAATAGACAGAAGGGCCAAAGGGAACCTGGGGTAAAGGGGGGCGGGGATAAATTGCACATAAACTTCTGATACGAACTGTCGAGAATTTTGTTTTCACCTGTTGTGATTATGTACTGGAATGTTAATGTTACAGTTATTGTCTACATTTTACTACCTAGCTGCAAACAAAAGACTACTCACAAAGATACACATCCACACAAGCCCGAGAGTTACCGCACCCCGAGGCGGGGAAAACAGACACGCTCCCCAGGAGCAAGCACCAAGGAGCCGCATAGGGAAACCACGAGACAGGACACACTACCAAGAAATCGATCCAGACGCCTGGACCCCAACCATTGCCCGACAGGCGAGGCGACATATGACAGGTGAGCACCCCACGCGCATCACTGGTGGTGCCGTGGACAGACGCTCCCCGACGCCTACACCTAGCCGTCACGACCGGTGACGCAGACACCGAAACACTTAGGGAATACCTAAGACTACCTCAAACACCCTAATCCTTACCTGTCCCCACCCTCGACTCACCAACCCGACACTGACCTCAGGACAAGCGACATCCGGAGACTACACACACCTCAGAGAATACAATACCTGACGACAACAATTAGACCTGACTAGACGACATGGCACTGACCCCAGAATATCTACAAATTCTCACGATTAATTCAAAAGGCCTAAACAAACCTGAGAAGAGATCAGGAGCACTCAGAGACTTCCACAAACAGAGGGCCTCAATAGTCATGATACAGGAAACCCACTTTAAAAAGGGAACCAGACCCAAACTGACAAATCAGCACTACACGCAGGGATACTATAGTGACTACCAAGGGGGCAAGGTGAGAGGGACAGCAATACTTTTCCACAAGAGGGTGCCATTCCAGGAGGGGGGATGTATGACAGACGACGGGGGCAGATACCTATTCCTTAAAGGGAAGATCGCAGACCACCAATACAGACCACCAATACAAACATCTACGCACCAAACTCACAACAATATCGCTTCCTCAAACAGACACTCCGCAAACTCCAAGCCTTCACAGAAGGGACTCTTATAATAGGGGGAGACTTCAACGTAACACTCGACCCGACATGGGACAACTCGACAGGCACTTCACACATCCCCACACAGCAAATTTCCACCATTAAATCCCTGCTCTGCAGCCAACAACTGGTGGACTGCTGGAGAGCCCACCACCCAGGCGTGAGAGACTTCACCTTTTACTCTCACCCCCACAACTCTTACTCACGAATAGACCACATATATACCACATAACACGACCTCTCCCTAGTGTCCGATGTAACAATCGGAGTGGCCACATGGTCAGACCACGCCCCAGTCTCACTCAAACTCAAATCACCACTCTACCGCCCCACGACCTCGAAATGGAGACTAAATGAATACTTACTCACCAAACTAGAAGTCGTAACTCTCATAAGGGAGAAAATCAGGGACTACCTGGTAACCAACACAGGAGAGCAAACATCCCCGATGATTCGGTGGGAAGCGCATAAAAGTGTGATAAGGGGCCACTATATACAACAGGGAGCAATAGCAAAGAAACAAGCCGAAGCTTGGTTCAAAGAACTGATAGCCAACATACACGAGACAGACGACCAAAACAAACAAACCCCAAACCACACACACCAAACCCGACTCCTACAATTGAGAAAGGAACTAGCCACACTACTACACTCTAAACACCACAGAGACGCGACCAGACACAAAGCCTTCTTTACATTACATGGAAACAAAAGCGGCAAACTCCTAGCCGCAATGTTGAAGAAGCAGAGACAACACACATACATCGACAAGATTAGAGACAAACAGGGGACCTTACACCGACTCCCGACAGACATCATGAAAACGATACGTACATACTACACAGAGCTATACGCACTCCCTCAACCGAAAACCAACACGGCGACGACGCGCCTCAGTGCCACTATCCGCGACTACCTGACAAAATACCAGACACCGACACTGGACCCAGAGATAGCAGAGTTAATAGACGAACCAATCACAATAGAAGAATTAGCACTGGCGGTTAAGCTAACCAAACCAGGCAAAAGCCAAGGACCAGACGGACTGCCGATTAAATATTACAAAACATACGCCGAAGACTTATACCCACCCATGGTAGAGGCGTTCAACGCGATAAGAGATGGGAACCATATCCCCAGACAAGCCCTAACAGCCCACATCACTATTATCCCCAAAGATGGCAAAGATAGGGAGCAATGCGGAAATTACAGACCGATCTCACTTATAAATTGCGACATTAAATTACTGGCCAAAATCCTGGCAACCCGACTTACAAAACACATCCCTTCACTAGTCCACCCAGACCAGGTAGGGTTCGTGACAGGAAGAGAAGCTCGAGATAACACCATCAGGGCGCTCACCCTCATGCACGGGAAAGAGAGTATGAAAGGGGGTCTTCTCCTGCTGTCAACAGACGCAGAGAAGGCCTTCGACAGAGTATGCTGGACATACCTTTTCGAAACACTGGCCCACGTAGGATTAGGACCACACATGCGACAATGGATAGAGGCACTATACCGAGAACCAACAGCCCAAGTGCTGGTAAATGGGGCACTGACAGACGCCTTCCAAATACACAATGGCACGAGACAGGGATGCCCCCTCTCCCCACTCCTGTTCGTCCTTGCCCTCGAACCGTTCCTTACACACATCCGAAATAACACGAACATAACCGGCCTAACGACAGGTAACACGCACCACAAAGTGGCCGCCTACGCAGACGATTTACTCTTTATTATAACCAACCCTGAAATCTCCCTCCCAAACATACAGAAAGACCTACAGATATATGGAGAAATATCCAACCTGAAAATCAATAACAGTAAATCGTTCATTCTCAATATTAGCATCCCTACTGCAAGGGCGAACCCCCTCCGACAAAGCTTCCCCTTCCAGTGGGCCGAGCACAGGATTAGATACTTGGGAGTCTGGTTGACTAGGCAGAGCGGGGACATGCTTAAGGAAAACTTTACAAACACACTTCAGACATTTCAAAAAGACATGCGGGAATGGTCATATCCACACATCTCCTGGTTGGGGAGAGTACAAGTAATAAAAATGAACTTCTTACCACGCCTCCTCTATCTCCTCCAAACCATCCCCATCGAGCTCCCGAGCCCCTTTTTCAAAACCCTCAGAACAGAAATGATCAGATACGTATGGAATGGGGGGAAACCCAGGGTGAAATTCACTACCCTGACGCGACCTTAAGATAAAGGAGGCTTAGCCCTCCCAGACTTCCACTTATACTATGTGGCCACACACCTACAGAGAATTGTAGAGTGGACAAAAGACAGGGTACACAAACAGTGGAAGACGGTGGAGGAGACGGAGGCGGGTAGACCAATCTCGGGACTGCCCTGGGACCGAAACGCGACGAACTGGGACGAAATGTCCGTCTACACCAAACACACCCTGAAAGTATGGAAGAGGGCAGCGGTGAAGGGGAGCATATCGCCATACCCTTCTCCCCTCCTTCCATTGACGTTTAACAAAGACTTCCCCCCGGGACTAGACCCAAGAGCCCTCAGAGACATCCTTCCAGACACTCACCCATGCTTACATCACGTCATACAGGAAGGGAAATGCAAAAAGCTTTTGGAAATGATGGGAGAAGTACCCCCGATCTTCATGCACAACTTTAGATACTCCCAACTAACCAACTACATCCACACCCTACCACAGGGCTCAGCACTCACTAGAGAACACACCACATTATAGGTGGTCTGCATGCACCCAGACCCGCTCCCACACGGAGTGTCCTTCCTATACACCATGTTACAGACAGACATCCCAACCGAGACACCCGTATTTATGGGGAAATGGGAGAAAGCCCTAGGATACGCATTGACAGACACAGAATGGGAATCCATTTGCTACCTCACACACCATTGCTCCACACACAGTAAAACACAAGAAACAGCCTACAAATTACTAACTCACTGGTACAGGACACCGCACCTCCTACATCAGATAGACCCAGATCAACCTGGCCTATGCTGGAGATGCCAACAAGAAGAGGGAGACATGAAACACATCTGGTGGGACTGCACAAAAATTAAACCATATTGGCAAAACATACACAGAATGCTCGAGAAATTCACAGACGAACCACCCCCCCTGGAACCAGCAGCAATGTTCCTACACCACACTCTAAGTACAAATGATCCATGACCATCCGAATACTTAATATAGCCAAGCGAGTAATCCCCCAATTCTGGAAACAGAACATAACACCTCCACTTAAGACCTGGTTCAGCCAAATGGAGGAACTCCGAATAACAGAGGAACTGACCATGATGACTAACGTGACCCCAAAGACCTACATGGACATTTGGACATATTGGATCCGAGAGACAGCGAAGGAAGGATTCCAAATGGAACTCGGATCAGACGTACGCCAAGCCACAGACAGTTAGGACTTAGATCACCCACTGGACGACAGATGACGGAAGACAATGACTACAGACGCCCCTCTCCCCACCCTAACCCCGACTTTCCCCACCCCCTCTCTTCTAAAGACCCACACAGGACAATAACCCCAACCAAAGCAGAAATTAATACATATAGAGGAGACACTAGTGCCCTGAATGAAAAACCCATATGGGTTCACACACATCCCATAACCTACAAGGGACACAATCCTACAGGAACATGGGCCGAGCAGACGGGATAATCACAAAATAGCCTGAGGACAGCAACAAGCTACAATCACACCCTTCCGAAATATGAGCCATAAACCTCTCAACACGGATACACCGTATCCCATACACATGACATCCAAGACACTAAGTGGAGGCTCACACGAGTCCGCTAAAGACACAATACCCAACACAAGATGTAGAGACCTGAACGTCGCCTAACAAATAAAGGTTGGATAAGAGGTCTGCGAACCTCAACACACATATAACACGAATCCCGGCTGCTGTACAAGAAACATATAAACCACATAAACACGATTCAATTAGTAAAACAAATGGCAGATGGTAAAATGTACATGACGTTACTTGTGAAACTGGAAAATAGGGACTTGCAAGTCCGTCAACATTGTGGGCCTGCGAGCCCAAACATATATTGATGTTTTCTAAAAATTATGACTAGTCACCTTAGAGACCTGCGAGTCTCCAACCTGTACGTAAGTAATATAAATATAAATATAAATAAAAATTATATTCACAAAAAAAAAAGAATTTAAAAAAACGGGATTAGAATAAGGATTGAGCCATATCTAATTTCCAATGGGACTACACCCTACAATAAAAAAAAATTGTTACCATACTTATCGGAATTTTCTTTTCCTGGCTATTATCGTTGTCAGCATCAACGATCACTCCCACTGTCTGGACTGACTTAATTATGAGACTGCTGGATAGGGGGAGGTGACACTCTTATATAACAGTATTTTAATTTTAGATTCCTGTCCTTTCAGCTGGGAGGCAAAAGCTTAACACATAAGTGATGCTAACATGGATAATATCTAGAAAAATAAAATTATGGTAACACTTTACCCTTATCTCCTGCTCTGTAAATTGAACTTTAATTACATACAGTAGGCTCCTGCAAATTCTAGCAAGATATTAACAGAGCAGGAGATAAGACATTCTAAATTAAACAGAATTAAATTAAACTCGTTATTTGCAATAAACAAAGTATAAACATTAGAGGACTCTTTACAAGAATCTGCAGGGGTAGTATGGAGCCAGAACTATCTGACTGTGTGTGTCTATGTGACTGTCTGCCTGTGTGTGACTGTCTGCCTGTGTGTGTGTGTGGCTGTCTGCCTGTGTGTGGCCTGTGTGTGTGTGTGACTGTCTGCCTGTGTGTTTGTGTGTGTGTGTGTGTGACTGTCTGCCTGTGTGTGTATGACTGTCTGTGTGTTGACTGTCTGTCTGTGTGTGTCTGTGACTGTCTGACTGTGTGTGTGTGTGTGTGTATGTGTGTGACTGTCTGACTATGTTAGTATGTGTCTGTGTGCGTGACTGTCTGCCTGTGTGTGTGTTTGACTGTCTGACTGTGTGTGTGTGTCTGTGTGACTGTCTGCCTGTGTGAGTGACTGTGTGTGTGTTTGACTGTCTGCCTGTGTGTATCTATGTGACTGTCTGCCTGTGTGTGTGTGACTATCTGCCTGTGTCTGTGTGTATGACTGTCTGTGTGAGACTGCCTGTGTGTGTGTGTGTGTGTTCGACTGCCTGCCTGTGTGTGTGTGTGTGTGACTGTCTGGGCAAACTAGATGGGCAGACTAGTTCTTATCTGCCGTCACATTCTATGTTTCAATGTCTGCTTGTGTGTGTGTGTGTGTGTGTGTGGCTGTCTGCCTGTGTGTTTGTGTGTGGCTGTCTTTGTGTGACTGCCTGCCTGTGTGTGTTGAGGTCTGCCTGTGTGTGTGTTTGTGTGTGGCTGTCTGCCTGTGTGTGTATGTGTGTGGCTGTGTGTGTGGGGCTGTGTGGCTGTCTGCATGTAAGTATGTGTGTGTAAGTCAGACTGTATGTGTGGCTGTGTGTGTGGGGCTGTCTGCCTGTGTGTGTGTGGTGGTCTTCCTATAATTGTGTGAGAGTGTTACTGCCTGTACCTGTGTGTTTCTGTGACTATCTGCCTGCAACTGTGTGCATGTGGTGTATTTGACAGTGTATATGTATAACTGTGCATCTGACTGTGGGACTGTGTGCACATAACTCTGCAAAAATATACACTTAGAAACATAGAATGTGACGGCAGATAAGAACCATTTGGCCCATCTAGTCTGCCCAATTTTCTAAATACTTTCATTAGTCCCTGGCCTTATCTTATAGTTAGGATAGCCTTATGCCTATCCCACGCATGCTTAAACTCCTTTACTGTGTTAACCTCTACCATTTCAGCTGGAAGGCTATTCCATGCATCCACTACCCTCTCAGTAAAGTAATACTTCCTGATATTTTTTTTAAACCTTTGTCCCTCTAATTTAAGACTATGTCCTCTTGTTGTGGTAGTTTTTCTTCTTTTAAATATAGTCTCCTCCTTTACTGTGTTGATTCCCTTTATATATTTAAATGTTTCTATCATATCCCCCCTGTCTCGTCTTTCCTCCAAGCTATACATGTTAAGATCCTTTAACCTTTCCTGGTAAGTTTTATCCTGCAGTCCATGAACCAGTTTAGTAGCCCTTCTCTGAACTCTCTCTGAAGATACTCCAGTACTGTGTACAATACTCCAAGTGAGGTATCAGCGGTGTTCTGTACAATGGCATGAGCACTTCCCTCTTTCTATTGCTAATACCTCTCCCTATACAACCAAGCATTCTGCTAGCATTTCCTGCTGCTCTATTACATTGTCTGCCTACCTTTAAGTCATCAGAAATAATCACCCCTAAATCCCTTTCCTCATATGTTGAGGTTAGGACTCTATCAAATA